CCCGACAATGAGGGTTCTTTTCAGTTCCTCCAAGAACTCACGCTTGTTCCCTCAGGAACTTTGCACTTGCTGTCCCTTAATGCCTAGCCTTCTTTCTGGTGGCTCTTCTTGTCCTGCAGAAGTCAACTCACACACGACATCCTCCTTGAAGGACCCTCCACCCCCACCCCACTCCTTACTCTCCATCACTTCCTGCGTCTCTTTGCAGCCCTTACTGTCCCCCTGAAATTACCTGGCTCCGGCATGTGTCCATGCCCTCTGGACTCTAAGCTACTTGAAGCAGTGAACTTGGTGGTCTCATGTGCCGCTGACAGCAGACCCCAGAACAAGCGGAGCTCAGGAAATATGGGAGGATTGATAGTAGTGTGGGTGAATGGACTTAGAGATATTGTGTCCAGGCCACAAGGCATCAGCAGAGCCGAATATCAGCCAGGACAATGTGACCTTGAACCTGACAGCTTAATCCTGAAGCTGTATTGTCCCTACAGGATTTGGTTAAAAGTTCTGCTGCCTGAGTTGGCATCCCTGCTTTGTGAAGTTATTGTGTGGGCATGGTGGCTCACGCCTGTAATCCCAGCACTTTGGGAGGCCCAGGAGGGTGGATTGTTTGAGACCAGGAGTTCAAGACCAGCCTGGCCAACATGGTGAAACCCCATCCCTACTAAGAAAACAAAAAAAATTTGCCAGGCAAGGTGGTGCACACCTGTAATCTTAGCTACTTGGGAGGCTGAGGCAGGAGGATCTCTTGAACTTGGGAGGCGGACATTGCCATGGGCCGAGATTGTTCCACTGCACTCCAGCCTGGGCAAAAGAGTGAAGATCTGTCTCAACAAAATAATAATAAATAATAAAAACAAAAATAAATGACTGTGTGTCCTTAGGCAAGGCACTTAGCAACTATGAGCTTCAGTTTCATCTAAACCCAGGACGTTAGTGATTCTCCCTCTAGTGGATGAAATGAAGTAATGCGGATAAACCCCTAATGCAGGGTACCTGCCAGTCACTGCAGTAGCTGTGGCAATTGTCACCTTCGTCCAAGCCCATCCCGCTTTGAGGGCCTAGAGAGAGTGGGCCAGAGGTTAACCCCCGACGCATCTGCTTCCCCACGCTGGGCATCTGGGTGTGCCAGGGCGTTCCCCCGCTGGTCAGACAGGTTTTGGGGCCGGGGCGGGGCTGACCAGGGTTAATTAGAGGGAACTGGCTAGCAGGAGCTGGGGAGGGGGCTGGGCAGAGTCCAGGCCTCCAGAGCCCCTGGGACACAGCAGGTGTGTGCTGCCATGGGCCGGGGCTTGAACTCTGCCAGACTCAGGCGCCAAAAACGGCGCTTGCGACCTCGGGTCCAGAAGCCCAGGCAACATCTGGAGGTGAGTGGTCATCAGAGAGCCCCATCCCCACCCTTGCCCTGGGCCCACGTGTCCTGTCTGCCCGGAACCTTCCCTCTAAATCTCTGGGTCTTGCTCATTCTTCCTCCCTCATTCTCCCTTGCTTTTGTGTCTATCTTGGACACAAGGCCCCCTTAGGCTTTCTCCCTAGGTGTCTGTCCCTCCATCCCCATCTCTCTGTGCCTGTCCAGTCTCATCGGTGCCTCTCTGCCTCTGTCCCTCTGCCCTGGCCCCTACAGCGGCTCCAGCAGGAGAACCATGAGCTCCGGCGAGGCCTGGCAGCCCGAGGAGCCGAGTGGGAGGCCAGGGCCGTGGAGCTGGAGGGGGACGTGGAGGCCCTGCGGGCCCAGCTCGGGGAGCAGCGCTCGGAGCAGCAGGACAGTGGGCGAGAACGGGCACGAGCCCTCAGCGAGCTCAGCGAGCAGAACCTCCGGCTCAGCCAGCAGCTGGCTCAGGTGGACAAGGTGGAGGAGGACGCCTTGGTCCCCAGTGGGGAGTGGGTGCATTGGGCATGGTGCTGAGGCTGCTCTGCCCCCCTTTCCACCTCCTCAGGCCTCCCAGACTGAGCAGGAACTTCAGAGGGAACTGGACACCCTTCGGGGACAGTGTCAGGCTCAGGCACTGGCTGGGGCAGAGCTGAGGACGCGGCTGGAGAGTCTGCAGGGGGAAGTGAGTTTCAGCTGGGGCTGGGGGATTGTCTGAGACAAAAAAGCCGGGCCGGGGGCTGGGAGGGGGCTGCCCCCCTCCCCAGCTCTCAGGCCTTTCCCCAGAACCAGATGCTGCAGAGCCGCCGGCAGGACCTGGAGGCCCAGATCCGAGGCCTGCGTGAGGAGGTGGAGAAGGGCCAGGGCCGACTGCAGACCACGCACGAGGAGTTGCTGCTGCTGAGGCGGGAGAGGCGGGAGCACAACCTGGAGGTGACCTGCAGGGCTAGGGGATACAACTGCCTGGACCCTTAGCAATGGCTTCAGGGTTTTCTGGGAGATGAGGCCAGAGCTGGATCACTGGGAGGTCCAGAGGCTGGCCCACAAGAGCATGGGCATTAGCCCATGGGCAAGTGGGAGCCACGGAAGGCTGTTAAGCAGGGGAGGCATGCTCTTAGAATACATCAGAGCCTGGCAGCTGAAAGGGCAGGGAGGGGGCTGATGCCAGAGCTCAGGCCAGGAATGACAGCCACTAGACCATGGCTGGGCAATGGAGATGGAGAAAAAGAAATGAAAAGAGGACGCGGGGTCTGATGTTAGAGATCAAAGGAGTCTGCACTTTGGGGTCAGCTTGCCTGCCTTCACATCCCAGTGCCCCTTTTTGCTACTGTGGGACAAGCAGCCTCAGTAGCACCGATAAATGCTGCATGAAACAATTAGTGAATGAGGAGGTAGACTGGGCAGGGGAGGGAATAGGGCTCTTCGAGGTGGGGCCCTGCTTTATAGGCGAGGAAATTGTGTGTCTGCTGAGGGAGGTGCATGGCCCAAGGCGCCCAGCGATCCAGGAACGGGAACAGCCTGGGCCGATGGGGTGCGGGGCCCTCCACGGCGCCCCCGCGTGGACCTGCCGCGGGATGCCGGCGCTGGGTGCGTCCCGCTGACCACCTGCGCTTCCGTCTGCGGGACCGTCCACAGCTGGAACGCGCACGGTCCGAGGCCGAGGAGGCGCTGAGCGCGCTGCGGAGGCTGCAGCGGCGCGTCTCCGAACTGGAGGAGGAGTCACGCCTCCAGGACGCCGACGTGTCGGGTGCCTCGTTGCAGTCAGAACTGGCCCACAGCCTCGAGGACGGCGACCAGGGCCAGAGCGCCGAAGCACGCGGAGACACCCCGGTGAGCTCGTGGGCCCTCAGCCCCCTTACCTGTGCCATCAAGAGGGTCGCAGGCTCTGCCTTTCCTCCTTTCCCTAATAGACTCCACACCACTAACCCATTTCTTTGGCCCACAGACCACCCGGTCCCCAAAGACCCGAGAGGCATCCAGTCCCCAGCCTTCACCCCCGGAAGAGAGCTTAGAGCCCCCCAAGAAGCGAACATCCCTCAGCCCAGCGGAGATGCTGGAGGAGAAGGAGGCGGAAGTGGCCAAGCTGCAAGATGAGGTGGGGGAGAGGGCACTGTGCTGGATGCAGGGCCCCTCTAGCTGTCAGTTTCTGTCTCCCATGTCCACTTCCCAGCCTTTGCCCACTAAGCTCTCTATACCTGGATCGGTCTTCATCTCAACAAACTTACTTCGAGAGCCAGCCTGCATGCCACCTCCTCCAGGAAGACTTCCTAGACAGCACCTCCCCGCTTAGTTCCACTTCCAATGCTTCTCCCTGCATCCCTCCTGCAGGGTTATACCACTCCTACTAGCCCTGCTCCACCCCACCCTGCACCAGCCTGAGGGTCTCAGAGGGCTCATCTTGGAGTCTCCAGCACAGGGCTACAGCTGCCTGGGGTGTCTGTCGCAGGCAGAGGAGGGCTGGGGAAAGCCAGAGTCGGGGCTGCTGGGAGAAGCAGGGACTGAAAGGCCCATTGGCTCATCTGCCGCACGGCCCCTCCTCTGCTCACAGATCTCGCTGCAGCAGGCAGAGCTGCAGTCCCTGCGGGAAGAGCTGCAGAGGCAGAAGGAGCTGCGGGCGCAGGAAGACCCTGGGGAGGCCCTGCACAGTGCCCTCTCAGACCGGGACGAGGCCGTGAACAAGTAAGCCTCAAGCCATCCACCACCACCCCAGCGCCCTCTGGGCCCTCCTGGGCTCCTGATTCCTCTTCTGATACGGGTTATAATGATCCCCACTCCCACCCAGGGGCCCACTGACCTCCTTGATCTAGGTGTTGGCAGCCCTCCTCCCGTTCGGGTCCAGAATTCCCCCGCCACCCCGGCTCCTTGAAGCCCTAGCGCCCACAAACGCGTCGTCCGCCCCTCCCCGCCTAGGGCCCTGGAGCTGTCCCTGGAGCTCAACCGCGTCTCGCTGGAGCGAGACTCCCTGTCCCGGGAGCTGCTGCGCGCCATCCGCCAGAAGGTGGCGCTCACGCAGGAGCTGGAGGCCTGGCAGGTGAGGGGCGGGGTCCGTGTGCGGAGGAGGGCAGGGGGCGGGACCGGTGCTGAGCCGACCACGGCCTCCCGCAGGACGACATGCAGGTGGTGATCGGGCAGCAGCTGCGCTCACAGCGCCAGAAGGAACTGAACGCCGCCGCGTCGTCGTCGACCCCGCGCCGTGCCGCGCCCCGCTTCTCTCTGCGCCTGGGCCCCGGGCCCGCCGGTGGCTTTCTCAGCAACCTCTTCCGAAGGACCTGACGGCTGGGCCCAGGGGCTGCCCTTGCCTGCTTAGGGGCTCACTTTCCTCTTCTGGCCAATTAAGCGACAGGGCCTGGATTGTCTTCCAAAAGGAGCTGATGCCCTCCCCACCCCAGGATGCTGGGCAAGGGCTCATCGGGAGCAGGGGCTCATCCGGAACAGGGGCCAGCTTTGTGGGGCAGGAGCCCCTGGTGGGTGGCAGGGGCAGGTGAACAGAGCTATTTTCCGAATCAATATAGGTCTATCTTTTCTAGGGCAGGGATGGGGCTGGGTATTTATGTATCAAGATGGGACAGAGTAATATATAAATCACTCCACCGATTTGGCCTCCATTCGTGGAAAGAAAGAGCATGGAAAAAAAGCCTGAAACTTTATTGTAAAAAAGAAAATGAAAAACACTCTAAAACCCTGGGCTGACTGGGGGTGTCGTCGGAGGTCAGAAGGACAGGGAGAAGGCTCGGTAGCCCAGGTTGGTGAAGACATCCACCCGGCAGCTGTTACCTGCAGCTGTCAGGACCTGGAGGAAAGAGGGGCATGACTGGCCTGCCCACACCCCTGCCTCCCAGCCACCCCATGGCCCCTGCCAGACCCACCTTGCACTCGGGCGCAGCGGGCTGCTGGTTGAGGCTGAGGCTGAGCAGCCCTGGGGAGGAGCCAGGCACCTGGGCCTTCAGCTCCCCGCTCAGCTGCCACTGGTTGACACAGCGGCCCTGGCCAGCCGACAGAATCTGCAGAGGACAGGGAAGGTGCTCGGGGGTCACAACTGAAGGGAAGAGTCAGTGGGGGTGGCAGAAGTGAGAGAGAGGGACTCACTAGGTCCTGGTAGAAGGTGACATGCTTCTGTGGCGCCCGGATGGGGAAGACAGTGGTAGGTGTGGAGGATCGGAGGTGCCAGAGGGTGAGGGCTGGGCCCCCTCCACAGACCTGGACAGAAAGGTGGGAGTCCCCAGCTGTGAACTACAGGCCCACAGCTGCCAGGGCCCAGAGCTGCCATCCAATCCCACAGTCTGCCCAGCTCACCATCCAGTCGGAATCAGTTGCCAAGCATCCGATCCAGCGCCCATTGTGGGGCCTTGAACACTCCTGGGCGGCGGGGGAGGGAGAGAGGTGAAGACATGCAGAATTCAAGGAGCGGGAGGGGAAGAGGACAATGGCCATGGACAGACCCTCACCTCGTGCTTATAGACCTCGATCGTCTGGACCTCCTTGGCTGTGCGCAGGTCTGCGGGGAAAGAACTGTGAGTGGTGCCCCATTCACCTCAGCCTCCTTCACTGCCATCTTGCCCTCCAGCCAGCCACCTCCTTACCCCAAAGTCGAACAGCTCCGTCCTCGCCACCTGACAGCACCTCTGGGCTCCTTTCCCGCAGTGCCAGGCAATGGATGTAGTCTGTGTGGCCCCGGAGGACCCGCTGCATGTAGAGGGGCGATGTCAGGAGGAGACCTAGGAAGAGTGCCTCTCCCTGGCCTGGACCTGCTCTAGGGCTCCAAGACCCTGCTCACCGTGAAAGTCCCAGTTTCAAGATCCATAGTGTGCAACTGACAGTCTCCCCCAGCCAGGATGAGGGAGTTCTCCTGTGGAGGGAGCAGGGTGAGGCAGGAAGTCAATGTCAAATCAGGGTAGGCAGAGGGTGAAGGATCAAAGTTTGGACAAGAACAGTCACATGGGGCTCAGACCTTGGGGACCAGCAGCAGAGCATTGATCTCGGGCACTTCCAGGCTGGTCCTGGGGAAGGCAAGGCAGGGTCAGTGAGGAAGTCACTTCACCCCGATGCCCCCTCTATCCATGTGGCCCTGGCTCACCTGTATGGAGGCTGACGATGCCACAGCTCCTTACACCCCTTCAAAAGGGAAAATACCAGTTGACCTCAAAGGCTCTCTCTGGGTCCCGGCACCCCAGCCCTTTCCCGAGCTCAACTCCTTACCTTCTTGAGCATCTCCGCCCAAAGCCAGGCCTTCACCTCCCCATCCCCAGCACTAAGCAGATGTCGATCGGTGGAGACCATGCTATAGACAGGCCCATCATGGGCTAAAGAGAAATGCAGAACTGAGTTGCCCAATTCCACCCAAAGTCCCGAAGCCAGACTCCACAGCTATACCCACCTTGGAAAGTCACCACCGGCTTCTTACTTTCCTCTTTGGCTTCGGAGCTCAAAGCAGCGGACAAGCTGCAGGGGACAGCGGAGGGGACCCAGGAGTCAGAAACAGGGGCATCCGTCCCATGAGGGCCAAGTGCCAGGGCTAATGGGTGGACAGCGGCAGAGGGTACCTGAAGATGGCAATCTGCCCATAATTGTTGCCAGCCGCCAGAAACTTCCCACACGGTGAGACGCTCTGGGAGAAGATGGTCATATGGAGCCGCTGCAAGGCCTGGAACACCTCTGTCTGCAGGGAAGAACTGGGATGTATGAAACCTCCCATCCACAGACTCCTTCCTGCTTCCCCCAACACCTGCCAGGCCTCCCACTGTCCTGACTTCTCAGCCCTCTTTTGAGGCGGCCCGGCCCCAAGCCAGCACTTGCCCATGCAGTCCCATGGGCGGCTCCAAGAAGACACTGAAGAAGGGGCGAGTCGAGGTGATGCCTCAGGGACCTCTGAGCAAGCACCCAGCACTCTCCTACCAGCTTCCTCAACTGTCAAGTGGAGCTCACAGAAGATTCCATCACAATTAGATGAGCTAGTGTATAGACAAGAGCTTTCCATGGGGCTGTCACTCAGTGCTGAAGCCAGGTGTGGTGGCTCATGCCTGTCATCCACCGCTTGGGGAGGCCAGGAGTTCGAGAGCAGCCTGGTCAAAATAGTGAGACTCCGTCTCAACAAAAAATTTAAAAATGTGGGGCCGGGCGCAGTGGCTCACGCCTGTAATCCCAGCACTTTGGGAGGCCGAGGTGGGCGGATCACCTGAGGTCTGGAGTTCCAGACCAGCCTGACCAACATGGAGAAACCCATCTCTACTAAAAATACAAAATGAGCTGGGAGTGGTGGCGCATGCCTGTAATCTCAGCTACTTGGGAGACTGAGGCAGGAGAACTGCTTGAATCTGGGAGGCGGAGGCTGTGGTGAACCAAGATGGAGCCACTGCACTCCAGCCTGGGCAACAAGAGTGAAACTTCATCTCAAAAAAAAAAAAAAAAAAAAATGTGGCCAGGCATGGTGACTCACACCTGTAATGCCAGCACTTTGGGAGGCTGAGGCGGGAGGATCACCTGAGGTCAGGAGTTCGAGACCAGCCTGGTCAACATGGTGAAACCCTGTCTCTACTAAAAACACAAAATTAGCTGGGCATGGTGGCACACGCCTGTAGTCCCAGCTACTCAGGAAACTGAGGCAGGAGAATCGCTTGAACCCAGGAGGCGGAAGTTGCAATGAGCTGAGATCGTGCCACTGCACTCTAGCCTAGTTGACAGAGTGAGACTCCGTCTCAAAAAAAAAAAAAAGTGCTTTGCAGGAACTAGAAAATTAAAAAAAAAAAAGGGGGGGCTCCACTACCCCAACATAGAAAAACGTACTGATTTATAATCCCTACTCTCTGACTTGCGTTAAGCCCCTGAGGCACTTCTGGGTTACTCTCCTGCCCCCCGGTCAGCGTCTGAGTTCCACAAATAGCCCAGGCAAAACAGGACTCAAAGGGCACAATTCCCTGCCCGCCCCGTCCCAGCCATGAATGGACTACAAATCCCAGAAGGCAACGCGCACCACGTCCGTCTCACCTGACCCAGCGGTACCGCCAGCGGCACAGCTCGCTCCATCTCCAGAACTACAAGTCCCACAGTGCTCCGCGTGCGACGCAACTTCACGAGGCCTTACGTGCCTACAGCGGTTCCTCTCCGTGGCGCCCTACTGCCTTCGGCGCGAAGGTGGCTGCTGCGTACCGTCCTGAACCCCAGGAGCCGAGGTGAGCGCCGCGAAGACCCCCGACATTAAGAAGTGGTGTCCACCGCAGCCCCGCTAAGCCGGATACCCTCCCCCACCCCGCGGAGCAAGCCTGCCTTCCGCCACGCGCCGCCCTTCTTCCGCGCCCGCGCAGAACCTCGCCGCTGTGCCCGCCTAAAGCCACGCCCATCCTCGCTGGGCCACGCCCTCAGAGACTCCTCCCCTGTCACCCAGATCCCACCCGCAGGACCCCAAAACCCAATGATCCTTCAGCAGCCCTTGGAGCGAGGCCCCCAGGGTGGGGCCCAGCGCCTCCCGAGGGCCGCCTTGGGGGTGACTCGGGGCCTGGACGCCAGGTGCGTGTGGGGGACCAGGGTGGGCCTGACCAAGGGCCGCAGGAGCTTTGGCTGGGTGCTCAGGGCTGGTCTGCAGGATGAACACGGGGTGGGGCGAATCGGTGGGGCTTAGGCGTGAGCTGAGATGGTATTGGGGCTGCAGTTCAGGGTCCAGACTTCCGAAGTACGCTGCTGGATGGCCCAGGAGAGGGGGGACCAGCACCAGCTGAGACAGTAATGGGTTTGGGGCTCCTGGCTGATGCTGCAGGCTCAGGCGGGCATATCCTTGGGAAGGGGCCAAGAGGGTGGGGTGCACCAGGCTCTCTTTTTTTCCCAGCTCCCCTCTCCGAGGAGCTGTGCCCATGAGCACCAAGCGGCGCCTGGAGGAGGAGCAGTGAGTTTGGGGGCAGGGAGGGACTCCCAACGAGAGCTCTGTCACCTCTGGTCCCCAACAGGCTGCCTCCTGTCTCAATATCCCAGCCTGCCTCTCTCCCATCTCTCCCCAGGGAGCCTCTGCGCAAGCAGTTTCTGTCTGAGGAGAACATGGCCACCCACTTCTCTCAACTCAGCCTGCACAATGACCACCCCTACTGCAGCCCCCCCATGGCCTTCCCCCAAGCCCTGCCCCCACTCAGGTAGGCTCCTCCACTGGCCAGGCCTTCTGCAGAATCACAGGCAGTCCTCGCAGCTGACCTCAGGCCCTGCCTCATCGTGCCATTTTTAGCTCTAGCTGACCTCTGGGTTGTTTCTCATCTTGGCTCTTTGGAAAGTGCTGGGAACCCAGGAGTCCCTGGGGACCTGGACCTGGTGGGAGGTGCTCAGCTAGGCCAGCCTTAGCCCCATGCCCTGACAGTCATTTCTTCTTCTAGAAGCCCTTGCTCTGAGCTGCTTCTCTGGCGCTACCCTGGCAGCCTCATCCCCGAGGCCCTCCGTCTGCTGAGGCTGGGGGACACCCCCAGTCCCCCCTACCCTGCAACCCCAGCTGGAGACATAACGGAGCTCTGAGTGCTGGTGGACTGCCCCTCCCACCTTCCTTCTTCCCCACAACAGAAGAGACCAGCGATTCCTGCAAAGGGACAAGGTTCCTCCCTCTCCTGCAGACCAGGCATCTGGGCACCAAGACCTTCCCTCAACAGAGGACACTGAGCCCAACGGAGCTCTGGGATGGGAGGGGTGGGAGCATGGGAAGGGAGGCATCCCACCCCCAAGAAGAACTGAATAAAGATTGCTGAGCAAAGGAAGGCTTCAGTCTAGAACCTGGGGCTTTTGGGGATGGTGGAGAGGGGAGAGGTGCAGGATGCTGGGGTTTCTCCTCAAGATCTTCCCTGGAAAACTGTTAGGGCCAGCCAGGTCCTGGCCGGCTGAGTTCCAGGCATTGAGAATGTGTGAGTCAGAGCCTCACCCCCGCCCCCGCGGCTGGCTGACTCACTCCCTCCCTCCAGCTCAGGGGAGTCAGTCGGGGATCACTGCCTCTCCAAACCATTTAAAGTTAAAGATTCTTTTATTAATAAATTCTCCCTCCCCTCCAAACTCTCCCCAAAATAAATATCTCCTCCCCTCTTTAGGGAGTTGGGGGGGTCGGTATCTTAGGGCCAGCCCTCCTAGTGGGCCAGCCCCCTAGTGTTAAAAATAGGTCCCTAACCCCCCCAGGGTGACCCCCATGGTGGAATTTCAGGACATCTGAGTGAGTGGGGCCTAGTGTCAAGTCTGCCCCCCAAGTCAGCCTGGCCCCCAGGGCCTCTAGGAAGGAGGACACCCCCCCCCCTGTGCAAATGCTGCAGTTCCTTAGTCAGTGTCAGCTGTTTTGTGTGAGCCAGCGTGAGGCTCCCTTTCTGTTCTGGGGCCAGAGGCAGGGCAACCAGACACCTTGGAAGGTTCCCCTGAACCCTGGGCCCAGGCCTCAGAGGTGATTCACCGCCCCCCACCCCCCTTGTGGTTGGAGGAGCTTGGCTCCTGCCGCGTCTGGGAGGCAGAGACTGGCTCTAGAATGGATGAATGAATGATGAGTGGGCGAGCCCCGGCTGGCAGGGGGCACATTGTCACTGGATCAGCGCCACAGCTGGGCAGCCCTCTCCGCCGGTCTCCTCTATGGGGGCTGCAAGATAAGAGGTGGGGTCGTCAGGGGCAGAGAAAAGGTCGAGTGCTGACAGGGCGGGGCAAGCCAGGGCGCACTTACTGGTGAACTTCTCTCTCCTGCGGCATCGTCTCCAGACCAGAAAGCCAGAAAGCAGCCCCAGCACGAAGGTCAGACTCAGAGCGCCCCCAAGGATGGGCCAAAGCAGCCGGAAGGGGGCAGGAGGTGCCGCAGCGCCTGGGGGCGGGACTCGGAGTCAGACCTCGCCCCTCTCCAGGCCAGCCCCGCCCCCTAAGACTGAGCCTTCAGCCTTCTCCCAACCGTGGCCTCCTCCCTGACCCGGGCCACCTTCTAACTCCCACCTTCTCCCGATTGACTTCCCCGATGCAAAGCTCTCGGCCACCCTCTCCGCACCAGCCACCCTCTCTCCCAGTCTGGGGTCCGCTGGCCACTGGCCCTGCCCCCCACTCACAGCCCAGGCAGAAGTCGCTGTGCGGTCGCGCCCTGCAAGACGCGCAGTCCATGCACTTGTCCAGGTCCGCGCTCCAGGAACTGCCGCGGGAGCAGGGGGCGGTGCCTGGGGAGGGGGCCTCGGGTCAGAGGCTGGGGGCGGGACTCGGCTATTCTGGGGTCTGAGGTCAGGGTCGGCCGGCTCGAATAACGTGAGTCACTGGCGCCCTCCCCGCGCATTCCTCACAGGTGACCGCACGGCCCGACCGGGACACGGCAGCTCCGGGAGGGAGGGCGTAGCGCGGGACGCTGGGGGTGGGGGGGGGTCAGGTCCCCACAACCCCCCTGCCGCCGGCGGGTGACTCACTCCTGGGCACCGGGCCCGACCCCGGTCCCTCCCCCCGCATAGCTGGGCACTGAAGTCACCGGATGGAAGGGGGCACCCCACATGGTATAGAGGGCACAGACCCTAGTGCCTCTCGACGGCCTCCCCAACTCGTCGGTCACTGGGGCTAGTTAGACCCTCTACTGACCAGGCTGGGGGCGTGCCCCTTCCTAGACTAAACATCCCGCCCTCACTTACTTTCTCTCTCCACTTCCAAGTACTTTCGGACTTTCGGAACCGAAGAACCCGCCCCAACCCCAATTGGACGGTGGGAGAAACTGAGGCCCGGATTGTGAATGAAACTTGGAGAGTGATGGAAGTTCCCATAGCCGGGAGCGAGCTGTTAGAAGGCCACCTGAACCCAGATACCCACATCCGCCTGTTCCCCCAGTTCCGCGCTGTTCTCCAGGCACCCAATCCGGCTCCCGAGCCCCGGATCGGGGTTCTCCGACCCCCAAGTCCCGCGTACCTGGCGCTTGCTCCCCAGCCACGGAGCGCAGCAACGCCAGCCAGAGCCCCAGCACGAGGAGCCGCAGCAACCGGCGCAGCGAACCCCGAGCCATAGTGCACGTCCCGCGCCCGCCGCTGTCTGCGCCCGCCGCCGGCCGGCAGGGACCCACGGCCGCCGCCCCGCCCCCGCCCCCGCCTTCCGGGGCGGAGCTCTCGCCTCCGCCCGCCTTGAGTTTGGCTGCGGGACGCCCCGCCCCGCGGGGCCCGCTCAATTCAGTCATTCATTCAACAAAGTTCTGGTGCGGGAGCTGCCAGGACCCCGCAGGAACGCAGACCCCTCCCTTGCCCAGCAGGTGATCTAGTCCAGCGCGCGTGGGGTGGGGAAATAAAAAATCAGACACGAGTGCTCTCTTCGGCATCTCATATAGAAATCAGACATGAACGGCCGGGCGCGGTGGCTCACGCCTTTAATCCCATCAATTTGGGAGGCTGAGGCAGGCGGATTAGGAAGTCAGGAGTTCGAGAGCAGCCTGACCAACGTGATGAAACGCCGTCTCTACTCAAAATACAAAAATTAGCCGGGCGTGGCAACGCGCGCCTGTAATCCTAGTTACTCAGGAGGCTGAGGCAGGAGAATCGCTTGAACCCGGGAGGCGGAAGTTGCAGTGAGCCGAGATGGCGCCATTACACTCGAGCCTGGGCGATAGAGTGAGACTCCTTCTCAAATAAATAAATAAATAAATAAATAAATAAATAAATAAAATCAGACACATGAACAATCCATGCAGAGATCACTGCAGCTTCCTTTTTTTTTCCTCCCCTTGAGATCGCGTCTTCCTCTTGTTCAGCCTGGAGTGCAGTGGTACGATCAGGGCTCTCTGGGCTCGAGTCTCCCACCTCAGCCTCCCAAGTAGGGACCACAGGCACTGCGCCAGCACACACGACTAATTTTTGTATTTTTTGTAGAGACCAGGGTCTCACTATGTTGCCCAGACTAGCCTGGCCACTGCAGCTTTCTTAAGGCCCCTGGGGGTATAACAATTAAACCTGAGGTCAGGAGTTCGAGACCAGCCTGGCCAACATGGTGAAACCCCGTCTTTACTAAAACCAAAAATAAAAAAAGAAAGAAATTAGCTGGGCGTGGTGGTGGGCACCTGTAATCTCAGCTACTTGGGAGACTGAGGCAGAAGAATTGCTGGAACCCGGGAGAGGGAGGTTGCAGTCAGCTGAGATAGCGCCATTTCACTCCAGACTGGGCGACAGAAAGGGCCCCCATCTCAAAAAATCAAAACAGGCCGGGCGCTGTGTTTCAGGCCTGTAATCCCAGCACTTTGGGAGGCTGAGGCGGGCGGATCAGAAGTCAGGAGATCGAGACCATCCTGGCTAACATGGTGAAACCCCATCTCCACTAAAAATACAAAAAATTAGTCAGGCGTGGTGGTGGGCGCCTATAGTTCCACCTACTTGGGAGGCTGAGGCAGGAGAATGGCGTGAACCCGGAAGGCGGAGCTTGCAGCGAGCGGAGATCGCGCCACTGCAGTCCAGCCTGGGCGACAGAGCTAGACTCTTTACAAACAACAACAAAAAAAATCATAACAACATAAAAATAATATTATCTGGCCGGGCGCGGTGGCTCAAGCCGGTAATCCCAGCGCAGTGCGAGGCCAAGGTGGGCGGATCGCTTGAGCCCCAGAGTTCGAGACGCCTGGGCAATATAGCAAGACCCTGTCTGTACAAAACATAAATTAGCTGGGCGCGGTGGCGTGTGCCGCCTGTAGTCCGAGCTACTCAGGAGGCTGAAGCGGGAGGATCGCTTGAGCCCGGAAGGTCGAGGCTGCAGTGAGCCGTGATCGCACCACTGCACTCCAGCCTGGGTGACACAGTGAAAATATTTCTCTAAAATAATACCAATAGTTTGCCCTGTAATTTGTAACTTAGGACGTAGTTACATAATAAAATGCAGACTTATCTCCATTTTACGGAGTAGGAAACGAAGGCTCGGGTAGGTTAGGTGAGTTCCCCATGTCATCGCGCTGCTTAAGTGGCAAAGCGGAGACTCAAGCTCTGTTCTCCCCTAAGCCTGGCGCCCTCACCCTGGGTGAGTCTGGCAGCTACCTCAGCCTCCAGCGCCCCCCTCTGACAAGCCTGGGATTCGCACGCCCGCTGCCGTCGGGTACAGGGTCTCTGCCCCTCCTCCGGGGCGGTGGTCCAGTGACGTCACCGCTTCTTTAAGACCCTCGCCTCCGCCCTGTCCCGACACTCGGCCTAGGAATTTCCCTTATTGTCTTCGCAGGTGAGTCCCGGGCAAGTGTGAGTGTTGGAGAGACGCCTGTTGGGGCCGGGTGCGGGGTGCTGGCGGCGTGGGTAGGGGTGCGTGCGAACTCGGGCTGCGGCCACCTGGATGCGCGAGTCCCTCAGGGGGTCGGGCGGTCTGCGCCCAAGACGCCGAGGTGATCGGGTCCTTCGAGGCTCCCAAGGGTTAAACGCCCCTCCCCCCTCCCCAGGGACAAAGACACCGAAACCCCGAGCGCCCCTCCCCCACCTATCTTGCCTTTCGGGGCGGGGCTCCCTCCCCCTTCCCCCTCGCTTGCGGGAGCAGACCTTGCGGCCACTGCAGCTATAGAACCCTTCCTGGGCGAGCGGCTCCCAGGCTGGAGTGGTCGGGTGGGCCCGGGCGCCCTCGGACAGAGTCGGGCCTGCAGTGCATGGAAAAGAAAGGGGCAGGGGCACACTCACAGGGGAGAGGCTTGGGGCGCCTAGACCAGCGTGGCCCCGACCCTAGCTCGGCCAGAGGCCTAACGGCCGGACCTGGGTGTTGGGGCAGCCTGCCCCAGCCAGTCTCCCCAAGGTGGCCTGCTCTGCCCAGGCCTGGGACCCCCGGCTAATGAGTAGAGCCTGCCCTCCGGCTACTGCCGGCCGGGATCATTTTAGGTCCAAGCTGTACAATGGAAGAACTCTGGGCAGTGCGAGGCCCCAGCAGTGGGAGGCCCTGGTCAGAGATGGTCCCCTCCAACACTGCCTGGGATATGAGGGGACACAGGTGCAGGCCAGGTGGTGGTGGGAGAACTGCTGTCGAGGGGAATCTAGCACAGCATTTGGTCTAGAATTCACAGGAAAAGGCCCTCAAGTTTTGAGGCTATGCTCTCCAGCCCCTAGGGGAGGTCAGAAGGGTGGGACCAGGGAGTCATTGAGTGACTTTGGGGAAGGAACTGCTTTTAGGTGGAGGATTAATGATGTTTTTCTTCATCTCTCCTGCCCCTGGTGTCTGCCAGCCTGGGATGTGGAACCAAGTTGTGAGGAATGTTGGGTGGTGGGAGGAAGCTTGGGATCTTCAATCTTAGTGTTGAAATTAACAAGTTTTGGTCCGGTGCGATGGCTCACACCTGTAATCCCAGAACTTTGGGAGGCTGAGGCGGGCGGATCACCTGAGGTCACGAATTCAAGACCAACCTGGCCAACTTGTTGAAACCCCATCTCTACTAAAAATACAAAAATTAAGGCCAGGTGCGGTGGCTCATGCGTGCAATCCCAGGACTTTGGGAGGCCGAGGCGGGCAGATCACGAGGTCAAGAGATCGAGACCATCCTGGCTAACACAGTGAAACCCCGTCTCTACTAAAAATACAAAAAATTAGCTGGGCATGGTGTCGGGCGCCTGTAGTCCCAGCTACTCGGGAGGCTGAGGCAGGAGAATGATGTGAACCCAGAAGGAGGAGCTTGCAGTGAGCCGAGATCGCACCACTGCACTCCAGCCTGGGCGACAGAGCGGGACTCCCTCTCAAAAAAAAAAAAAAAAAATTATCCGGGCGTGGTGGTGTGCAGCTATAATTGCAGCTACTTGGGAGGCTGAGGCAGGAGAATCACTTGAACCTGGGAGGCACAGGTTGCAGTGAGCCGAGATTACACCACTGCACTCTAGCCTGGGCCACTGAGTGAGACTCCTTGTCTCAAACAACAACAACAAAAAGAAATGGACAAGTTTTGAGCCTTAAACTCAGGGCTAGAACTGAACCATTCTACACGGAGACTGCTTGGAAATCACACTGTCTTCTCATCCTGCTTTTTGCTGCCTTGCAGCCTGATCACTGGCTCTGGCCTTGGACTCTCATTGCATAGGTTTCATCCTGTTATTTTTCATTTGCACTCAGAATAGCCAGGGCAGGGCTGCTTGCACATTCACTGTTACGAGCCAGTGCCTGTCACATAACTAGAAAGAATAATAAATGCTAAAGCATTAAGTGTTCATTTTGCCCATGAGAAGTGAGGCTCAGGGAGCATGTCTTGACCGAGTTCCGGGATGTGATGACCACTTTCCATGGTGTATGCCCCTAGTGTCCTGTCCACATGTGGCCTGAGGTCTGGGCCTGCCAGGCCTCACCTTGCTGTGCTTCTGTCCCAAATACAGTGCAGCTCCTTCAACCTCGCCATGGCCTCTGCCGGAATGCAGATCCTGGGAGTCGTCCTGACACTGCTGGGCTGGGTGAATGGCCTGGTTTCCTGCGCCCTGCCCATGTGGAAAGTGACCGCTTTCATCGGCAACAGCATCGTGGTGGCCCAGGTGGTGTGGGAGGGCTTGTGGATGTCCTGCGTGGTGCAGAGCACCGGCCAGATGCAGTGCAAGGTGTACGACTCACTGCTGGCACTGCCACAGGACCTGCAGGCTGCACGTGCCCTCTGTGTCATTGCCCTCCTTGTGGCCCTGTTTGGCTTGCTGGTCTACCTTGCTGGGGCCAAGTGTACCACCTGTGTGGAGGATAAGGATTCCAAGGCCCGCCTGGTGCTCACCTCTGGGATTGTCTTTGTCATCTCAGGGGTCCTGACGCTAATCCCCGTGTGCTGGACGGCGCATGCCATCATCCGGGACTTCTATAACCCCCTGGTGGCTGAGGCCCAAAAGCGGGAGCTGGGGGCCTCCCTCTACTTGGGCTGGGCAGCCTCAGGCCTTTTGTTGCTGGGTGGGGGGCTGCTGTGCTGCACTTGCCCCTCAGGGGTGTCCCGGGGTCCGAGCCATTACATGGCCCGCTACTCGACATCTGCCCCTGCCATCTCTCGGGGGCCCTCTGAGTACCCCACCAAGAATTACGTCTGACGTGGAGGGGAATGGGGGCTCCGCTGGCACTAGAGCCATCCAGAAGTCCAACAGCTTTGGGATAGGTTGGTATCTTTTGTTTCTGCCTTCTGCTGTTTTTTTTTTTGACTGAGGGTATTTAAAATTCATTTGAAAACTGAACCAAGAAGATGGCTCAGACTCCCACTTAGGCTCTGCTGTTTCTCACCCTTGGATGATGGAGCCAAAAAGGGGATGCTTTGAGATTTTGGATCTTGACATGCCCATCTTAGAAGCCAGTCGAGCTGTGGAACTAACGTGGGGGCTGCTTGCTGTGCTGGCCTTTGCAACAAGACAGACTGTCCCCAAGAGTTCCTGCTGCTGCTGGGGGCTGGGCTTCCCTAGACGTCACTGGACAGCTAACCCCCATCCTACTTGGGCCTCTGGAGCTCCTCTCATCACCCCCTGGAAAAGCAAGTGATCTGTTAACAAAGGACTGCCCACCCCCGGAACTTCTGACCTCTGGCTCTTCCATCCTGATAGAACGTCCACCCCCCGGGCCAGGTCCCAGCTATGGAGACCCCCACCTCCACCTCCAACACTGCACCCTTCTGCCCTGCCCGCCCCTTTACACTCACATTTTTACCAAATAAAGCATGTTTTGTTAGTGCATTTGGTGTTGCAGGGGGTTACTGAGTGCCCACCCTGGCTAGGGGAAGAGGTGGGCATAAGTGAGTCATGATCTCCTCTGCCCGTGGCTTGAGTGAGCATACCTACCAGGCAGAACCTGGAGCCAGACCTTGGCCTGACAGCCACCAAGGGAGGCTACCTGGCTGTCCCTGCCCAGCCCTAGTGGCGGCACACAGATTAGAGGGAGCCCAGTTACAAATGCTCTTTATTTCCAACTCGCGGGTGGGGGTGTTGGGGAGGGGAGGTGATGGGCAGGCCCTCCCTGCCAACTCCAGGGTTGGGAGGGCATGGTCTGCTCCTTGGTTTTGGAGCCAATGAGCTGCTGCCCTTTCGGTGAGGTCAGGGTTCCTGGGACAGGGGAGGGCTCAGAAGAGAAAGAAGGCCAGCCAGTATCCTGGGCAATGGAAGGAAACAACTACTGGGGAGGCGGGGGCAGGCCAGGGTGCCCAACACCTCTGGGCTGCCCAGCTTGGGGGAGAACATCAAAGGGGACCCCATTGAGAAGAGCTCAGCCAGGCCAGCTGACCCAGCCCTGCGGCCAGGTATAGCTTGGGCTTTTGGAAAGTGGGTTTTCCTGGGGAAGGAGGTTGTGGTGGAGCAGGGCATCTGGTCACCAGGCCAAGGTGGAAGGTGCGGAGCAGTGGGGAGCAGCGGGCTCCCAGGGGAAGCCTCTGCCTCACACGTAGTCCCTCTTGTCCAGTCCAGACGCGCCTGAGCGGGAGGGGATGGAGTAGCCCAGCGTCGGTCCATGGGGCCGCTCGACCTGGGGCGGGGGGCACGTGCAGCAGAGGAGCCCCCCGCCCAGCATAAGCAGTGCGGCTGCCGCCCAGCCCAGGTAGAGGGAGGCTCCCAGCTCCCGCTTGAGGGCTTCAGCCACCAGGGGGTTGTAGAAGTCCTGGATGATGGCGTGCGCCGTCCAGCACACAGGGATGAGCACCAGGATGCCAGCGAGGAGGAGGATGACTCCCGCGGTGAGCATGATACGGGCCTTGGCACCTTCATCCTCCACACATGTGGTACACTGGGCACCTGTGATGGCCAACAGGAGGCCAAGCAGGGTCAGCAGGAGGGCGATGACACAGAGGGCACGTGCAGCCTGCAGGTCCTGTGGCAGCGCCAGCAGCGAGTCGTACACCTTGCACTGCATCTGGCCCGTGCTCTGCACCACGCAGGACATCCACAGCCCCTCCCACACCACCTGGGCTACTACGATGCTGTTGCCGATGAAGGCGGTCACCTTCCACAGGGGCAGGGCACAGGACACCAGGGTCCCCAGCCAGCCCAGCACAGCCAGGGTCATGCCCAGCAGTTCTAAGCCAGTCGAAGCCATCTGGCCCCTCGGTTAGGTCTTCTCAGCCCCAGGCAGCCTAGGTGACTCAAAGGGTGTGTCTGGTGTGCTGGGTGGGTGTCTCTGTGCCCAGCAGGAGGGGAAGGCTTGTTGGTGTCCCCAGGCCAGGCCAGTCCTCAGTTCTGTGAACCTCTTGAAAGGCTCCTCCTCTCCGTGCCTCTTGCAGGTGTCTCTGGTCCTTGCAGAGTACAAAGCAGGCTCCTGGTCCCACTCAGCTGAGTGGTGGGTGTCACCTTGAGGGGCCTCCGCCCATCGAATGCCGTGAGGGTGCTGCTGCTCTTGCCACCCTGCTGTCACACCTGGGCTGAGCTCACACAGGCCCTCCGGATGCACTGCCAGGCTGAGGACATCTGCGTCCCCTGCGGGCTGGCACAGGTTCCCACCAAGCGACTCTGACAGTGCCACCTGAGGACTCTGCAGGCTCTCAGCTGCAGGCGGGGTTTTAAGGCCCAGGTAGGGGAGGAGCAGAGTGAAGTGCAGGGAGGCCAGGATAGGGCAGACCTGAGCCATGGGGAGGGTGCAGGGCTGGGGATTCTTGGGCAGCGGGTGGATGAGGGGCCTGGGGGGTCAGTGGGGGACGCCGCGACTGAGTGGTGACAGGGGAGGAAAAGCATCCATAGCATCTGTGCATGTGGGAACCAAGGGTAAAGGAGGGGAAGATGGAGGACAAGCTGAGGAAGAAGAGAGGGATTGGGGGCCAAAAAAGTAACAGGCTCAGGACAGAAACACACACAGGGGGCGTTGGCCTGCCTTCCTGAGCCGCCTCCTCCCACAGCCCCTCCCGGCCGCCTCTGCTCTCCCCCAGCCCAGTTTCGTGATGCAAACATGCCCCAGCTCCCCGAGTATCGCACACCCCCACCCGCCTGGGACTCTCAGGAATCTGATCCATCCCCCGTCTCAGCCCAGTGGCCCTGCTAGCTCCCAGGGGAAGAGCCCCGCCCGTACTGTTCCCCGGACGACAGGTGCCTGGCGCCCAGCTCAGGTGGCATCGCCCTGGCAACGGCCTAGAAAACTACCCCCCCTTCAACCTCAGCTCAGGTGCGCTCTTGCCACCCCCGCTGCTGAAACCAAGGTTGAGCTGAGCTGCCTAAGGTCTCCAGAGGCCAGAGGATAAGGGGCCTGTTGTGAAGTTGGGGGACCCTCAGGAAGGGGGATGGAGGTGGGAGGGGCTTGGGCTGGAACCCAGGGTGAGGCGCAGCCCAGGATCCAGTTATCTTCCATGAGTGGGTGAGTGAGTGGCCAGTCAGGCCTCCCGGGACAAGACACCCCAGAGGTGGGCACGGGAGTTAAGTCCGGACACTCAAGTGTCCCCAAGACCTGCCTTCCAGTGTGCAGGAAATCCTTTCCTCTGGAAAAACTCCCTCAGAGCCTGTGATTCCACTCACGGGGACAGCCTGGGAGTCCCAGTGACCGAAGCTCAAATCCTGACCCCTATCTGGGACAGATCATGGAAGGTCAAGGTCCTTAACCTCCTTTGGTCAAAGACCCACTTGAGAAACCCCATGGGACTCACAGAAAAAGCACCCACAAAAACGTGCCCCTCATTTGTGGGGGAGCATTCATGAACTCCCTCAAGCCCCTGCCCGGGTGCTAAGAACCTCTGAAGATTGTTGTCTGAAAAGGGGGTGTGACGGCCGGGTGCGGTGACTCACGCCTGTAATCCCAGCGCTTTGGGAGGCCAAGGCGGGTGAGTTACCAGGGCAGGAGTTTGAGAGCAGCCTGGCCAACATGGTGAACCCCATCTGTACTAAAAATACAAAAAAATTAGGTATCCCAGCACTTTGAGAGGCCGAGGCAGGCAGATCAGGAGGTCAAAAGATCGAGACCATCCTGGCCAACATGGTGAAACCCTGTCTCTACTAAAAATACAAAAGTTAGCTGGGCATGGTGGCACGAGCCTGTAGTCCCAGCTACTCGCTACTCTGGAAGCTGAGGCAGAAGAATCACTTGAACCCAGGAGGCGGAGGTTGCAGTGAGCCAAGATCGCACCACTCCACTCCAGCCTGGCGACACAGTGAGATTCCGTCTCGGAAAAAAAAATTAGCTGGCCGTGGTGGCGGGCGCCTGTAATCTCAGCTACTTGGGAAGCTGAGGCAGAAGAATCGCTTGAACCCAGGAGGCAGAGGTTGCAGTGAGCCGAGATCGCACCACTGCACTCCAGCCCAGGTGACAGTGGGAGACTCTGTCTCAAAAAAAAAAAAAGAAAGAAAAGAAAAGAAAAAGAAAAAGAAAAGGCGATGTGAGGAAGATTCCCTCCATTCACACACTTTCCAGGGAGGTACAGAGGATCCTCAGAGTGGGCCATCACCTGGGACTGCCTCTTACCCACCTGGTGCTGGGAGGGCTAGGGTGTGCTGGAGCCCACTGGCCAGTGCGGGCAGGGCTGGGGTGCCCACCACACACATCTGGTGGCTGCACCACTTCACGGCACTGCCTTCAGGGAGCCAGTGGTCAGGCACGCCCCTGCTCAGTGCCCCTCACCTATTCGGTGGGACATTATGTATAAAGGGCTCTAACCTCAAGGAGCGTTCAGGGTTCAAATCCAGGAGTATGAGCATCACTTCTGTGAAAGGTTTTAGCATCTTTTGGGTCTGGGCACTGAGGCTCACACCTGTAATCCCAGCGCTTAAGAGGCCAAGGTGGGAGGATTGCTTAAGGCCAGGAGCTTGAGACCAGCCTGGGCAACATAGTGAGACCCCATTTCTAAAACAAACAAACAAACAAAATACAAAAATTAGCTGAGTGAGGTGGTTCCTGTCTGTAGTCCCAGCTACTCAGGAGGCTGAGGTGGCAGGGTCTCTTGAGCCCAGGAGTAGTGAGCTATGATTATGCCACCGCAGTCCGTCCTAGGTGAGACCCTGTTTCTATTAAAAAAAAAAAAAAAATGATACTTTTGAAAGAGAGATTTATACTTTCCTTCAGATTTGCAAAGGGGCCTTGACCCAAAACAACTGAAGATCCTCCTCTGCAAACACAGAGACTGAGGCCAGCGCCAATCAGCTGGTCTGTAAGCTAAACAGAAGCCTCACCTCCTCTTCACCACCCCTTTCCACTGAGGGGGGCTCTTCCGGTATGAGGGGCTGACCTGGTGGCCCCACAGAGTCTGGAGAATGGGGGCTGATGATAGGGGCTGGAAAATGGCCGTCGATGGACTCAGGGAATCTTGTGGTGGGTTTGTCCAGCTCATCCAGCCCCCGGGGCTTGGATTTCACAGGGTGGGGGTGGGGAGAGCGAAGAATTGCAGACGGAGGCAAGCCGGTCAGTGGGCTCCCTCGCAGCCTTCCAGGGGCCTCCAGGAATCCAGTCGCACAGGTTTGGGCAGCTGTCAGGAGGCAGCAGCAAGCCTGGCTCTCTGGAAGGCCCCCCACCCTGCAGCCCCATCCTAGGGGCTATTCTCTTCCCCGGGCCAGAACCAATCCTCCTCTTCCTAGGGCCTAAGGTGATCGGCTCATCCCACTTTTTCGAGGGACATTCCCAGTTTGAATATTGGGTCCTGCATCCCAGGGAAACCGGGACAGCTGGTCCACTTGCCGTCGGGCCCTGCGGTTCCACAGGCAGCTCTAAACCCTTACGTTGTAGCCCAGTGGCGGGCTGCACACATCCGGTGAGCATTGTGCCTGGAAAGGGCGTAAGAGGATCCCAGGGTTTTTTTGTTTTTGTTTTTTGAGACGTGAGTTTCACTTTTGTTGACCAGGCTGGAGTGTAATGGCACAATCTCGGCTCACTGCAACCTCTGTCTCCCGGGTTCAAGCTATTCTCCTGCCTCAGCTTCCCAAGTAGCTGAGATTACAGGCATGTGCCACCACAGTCAGTTATTATTTTTTTTTAATTTAGTAGAGAAAGGGTTTCACCATGTTAGGCTGGTCTTGAACTCCTGACCTCAGGTGATCCGCCCGCCTCAGCCTCCCGAAGTGCTAGGATTACAGGCGAGCGCCGCCACACTTGCTCAGCGACCCCAGGTTTTTTTATTTTGTTTTTTGAGACGGAATCTCGCTCTAACGCCCAGGCTGGAGTGCAGTGGCGTGATCTTGGCTCACTGCAACCTCGGAACCTCCACCTCCTGGGTTCAAACGATTCTCCTGCCTCAGCCTCCCTAGTAGCTAAAACTACAGGCATGCGCCAATATGCCCAGCTAATTTTTGTATTTTTATTAGATATACGGGGTTTCACCATATTGGCCAGGCTGGTCTCGAACTCCTGACCTCGTCATCCACCTGCCTTGGCCTCCCAAAGTGCTAGGATTACAGGTGTGATCCACCGCGTCCAGCCAACCCCAGGTTTTTAAGACTCCAATTCCTCTTTGACCCAACATCTCCAGATTGGAGCAAGGAGGAAAGCAAGCCGACACTCCAGGGACTAGCCAGCTGCGTGTGTGGCGGCTGCTCAGTGGACACACACACCCCCACCTCAGGGACCAACCCGCTGGACTTGCCTTCACAGTGGCCTGGTGTGGCTTCAGCCTCCTCCCACCCCGACTCCCACTCCAGGTCTCTAAGATAAAACAAAGTATCTCTCCAAGCCCCTTGGGGACAGTAAAAGTGGGGAAACATCTCGGAGCCTAGGAGAGGCTGGAAGAGGGTGGTTGGGGACCTGCCCATGGTGGGAGGATTCCCAGGACACATGGGCAGCAATTCACCTGTTGTCCTCAGCCCTCGCTAGGCCTGGGTTGGGGAGGTCCCAGACCCTCTCCTAGGCCCTCGTGCACCTGGATTCAGTTGGATCTTGGGAACGGAAGGGTTAAGGTTGGGGCTGAATCCGAGACTTCAAGGGCCGGAATGCCATTGATATGGAGAAGTGGGAGCCCCCGGTGTAGTTACCATCTCAATGGCACTTTAACACATCCAGCGAAGTCCCCTCCCCCATCCGCCAGGTCGGGGGAAAGAGGTGGGGGAGGGGAACCTTCCCCACTGTACTACCCTGGGAGGAAAGGAAGTCGGCCCTCCACCAGCCCCTTCCTGGAGCGACAAAATGGACCTTGTTTTTGTTCCGTCTAGGAGGAAAGAGGGGCAGGGAGACTCAGGTGGGCAGAAGAAACCAGGGATCAGCTTGGATAGGGTCGAAGTGGGTTAACCCGCGGCTCTTAAGAGGGGGAAGTGGGGCCCAACGACCAAGAAAAGGAACTAAGTTACCAGGAGCTATCATGAGGCAGGAATGGTGCGGGGGTGGGTGTGGGGACTGCACACTAAGAACCCCAAGGGCAGAGTCACCCACTGCGCCTGGAGGAGCTGAGACCCTGATCTTACAGGTAGAGAAGCCGGTCCCCTGGCTCCCAGACCAAAAGGTGCAGCTAAATCTCGGTGGTATGGCCGTCACCCTCACGGGTTCACTGCCCACCTTCACAGACAGGAACAAGCTCAGGGAGCTGAGCAAACCTGACCAAGTGCACAGCAGGGAGCAGGACACGCCTGACACCAACCCAGACCCTGACTTTGGAGCCAGCCCCCTGGGTGGGCTGAGAGAGCCTCCTGAACCTTTTTCCCGACAGGCAGCCGGGCAGGGCCTCTCCTTCTGGGCCTCCCAAGCACCACCCCGTTCCTCCTTTTCCCAAATTATTCGAGGCTCCCAGTACAGGAAAACCTCTGGGGAGAACTGCGTCTGGATCTGATTACGGAGGAGGCCCCCTCCACCTGCTGGCTCACTCTCACTGCCGCGTCCCTGGCAAGGGACGTGCCCTTTGCTCCCCACTTGCAGGAGGCAGCGGGCTGGACTCCCAGAACCCCATGCGGGCCCCACCCCAGGGATCCCTGGGCAAGTCACAGCTGCCCAAACCTCAGGTGCCTCCTGGCTGTAAAGCAGAGAGAGGACAGTTCTGCTTCAACCCTGGCACATCCCTGGGCTAGTGTTTCGGGGATCGAAGTAGGTATTGACTCAAGGCAA